CCAGACCTTCACGCTTCCGGACTCTCCAGAGCAAAATGGGATTGCTGAGCGCCGCATTGGCATGGTCATGGACGTCGCCCGTACGTCCATGATGCATGCGGCTGCCCCCCATTTTCTGTGGCCGTTTGCGGTTTGGTACGCGGCGCATCAGATCAACCTTCACCCCAGGGTCTCCATGCCGGAGACCTCCCCAGCTTTGCTGTGGACGGGGAAGGTTGGCGATGCGTCTGCGTTCCGTGTCTGGGGATCTCGGGCGTTTGTCCGCGACTTGTCTGCGGACAAGTTGTCCCCTCGTGCTGCTCCTTGCGTCTTCCTTGGCTTCCCCCCTTACGCGCCAGGGTGGCAGTTCTACCACCCCACCTCTCGCCGTGTTCTGTCCTCCCAGGACGTCACGTTTGACGAGTCGGTCCCCTACTACCGCCTCTTCCCCTACCGCACTCCGCCCCTCCCCCCGCCACCGCTCTTCCTTGTGCTAGGTCCCCCCCCCGGTAGACCCCCTCCCCCCTCAGGATCCTGCCCCTTCAGGTGTGTCCCAGGTAGACGCAGTCGAGCCTGTCGAGGTTACTGGAGACTCTGGTGCTGCTGAGGGTGCTGAGCGAGGGGGTGCTGACTCTGGGGTCGCTGAGCGTGTGGGTGCTACGCCTGGGGGTGCTGAGCCTGAGGGTGCTACTACTGGGGGTGGTGAGCCTGGGGGTGCTGAGCCTGGGGGTGCTACCACTGGGGGTGCTGAGCCTCAAGGTGCTGAGCTTAGGGTTGCTACGCCTGGGGGTGCTGAGCCTGGGGGTGCTACGCCTGGAGGTGCTGAGCCTGGGGGTGCGGAGCTTGAGGGAGCTGGGCCTGCTCGTGTGGCGTCTGGCGGTGCTGTGCCTGGCGGTTCTCCGGGTGCTTCGTCTCGCCGGGAGCCACTCTCTCCACAGGAGCTGCGTGAGTGGTTTGCCCGGCGCTGGAGGCGTGCTGCTGGAGCTGGAGGTGCTGCGGGTACTGGAGATTCTGCTGCTGCTGAGGGTGCTGGTGCCGCGGGTCCCGGAGGTGCTCATACTGGGAGTACTGGAGCCGCTGGGCCTGCGGGTACTTCTGGAGCTGGAGCTGCTGCGGGTGTTGGCGCGGAGGCTGCTGCTGTCGGTCCTGGCGGCGGTCCTGCTGGGGGAGCTACTGGTGCTGCTGGAGGTACTAGAGCTGGAGGTGCTACTGGTGCTGGTGCTGCCGCTGGGGGTACTGGTGCTGTCCCTGCTGTGTTTGGAGTCGCCGCGCGGCCTCGGCCATACTTCGTTCCGCTCCTTCAGTAGGTTCTTGGTCTCCCGCCTTCTACTGGTCCTCCTCCTCCCTTAGAGTGTCCACAGCCTGTCCAGTCACAGTTACAATTACAGCCGACCTCCCCACTGCCTGCTCCTTCTCCCTACACTGGTCCTACTGGAGGTCTTGCTGAGCGTCGTGAGCCTGCGTCTTGCCCTGCGTCGCCTGTCCGTGCTGCTCGCACTAGTGGTCGCGGTTCACGTCAGGGTCCTCCTCCTGTCCCTGGCACGCACCGGATGTCTCTGCGTCCGTCCACTGCTCCTCTGCGTGCCCCTTTACCTTCTCCTCTTGAGTCTTCTCTTCCTGCTCTTACCGACCCGGAGTCAGACTCTCTTCGTGCTGCCAGTCCTACTGTCACGCGTCTCCTTGCTGCTGTTGTCACTAACCCTTCCTTTGAGTCCACTGCTGCGTGTGCCCTAGTTGCTGAGCTCGTCGACCCTGCTGCTCGCTGTTGTCTAGACTACGCCGCCAGTCTTGTTGCTGAGTCTGAGTCTGTCTGTCCTCCGTCCGTCAGGGGTGAGTGTGCCCTTGGCACGGACGTCCTTGAGGACAGGCAGGAGGAGTTCCAGTGCTTGGCTGCTGCTTCACCTCATCTCGTGTCCGTACTGCTTACCCTTGAGGGAGACCCGGATGCACTTGACATCCCGACTCCGCGCTCTTACGCGGAGGCGATAGAGGGTCCCTACTCCTCTCAGTGGCAGGCAGCTATGGACGCAGAGATGGCTTCCTGGAAGTCCAAAGGCACCTACGTTGACGAGTTTCCCCCGCCTGGGGCGAACATCGTCAGTGGCATGTGGATTTTCAGGGTGAAGCGGCCGCCAGGTTCTCCGCCTGTCTTCAAGGTGCGTTACGTGGCTCGTGGCTTCAGTCAGCGGCAGGGAGTTGACTACTTTCAGACCTTCTCTCCCACCCCGAAGATGACCACTCTTCGGGTACTACTGCACGTAGTTGCTCACCGTGACTACGAGCTACACTCTCTTGACTTTAGCACTGCTTTCCTGCAGGGCAGCTTGCACGAGGAGATCTGGCTGCGCCGCCCACCTGGCTTCACTGGGACTTTTCCTCGTGGCACCTAGTGGAGCCTCCGGCGGCCAGTCTACGGTCTTCGCCAGGCACCGCGTGAGTGGCACGACACACTGACGACTACACTTGCGGCTCTTGGGTTTGCTCCCTCTACTGCCGACCACGAATACACATTATCATAAAAATTTAGTAACCTGTCCTCAACTATATGTCAAAACATCTGTATTTCATGATCATTTTAAAACATGGAAATCGCTTTACTATAATCCAACAACGACAAAGAAATCAAAGTTGTTCAAAATTCTTACGCATGTTACGAGTGTTGCTTCGCAACCCTAAGACGTTTAACGTGAAAAGCCACGCCTGAACGGTAGGACCACCCCATTGACTTGGGTCAAAGCATGGCGGACGCTGCGGCTTTAGCGGCATCGGCGACGGAAGAGTTGATTCGCCGGCCGGCACTGAAATCGTGACTTGAGGTTGAGTCCTGGCCGCAGTAGTCGTGTCGGGGTGTGTCGTGCCGTCGTCGTTGTCTCCGTCATGGCGGACAACGCCATCACTTGCGGCGCTCGCGGGTTGCCCCACACTTCCAAGCTGTGATGTCTGTGGTGCGGGCTGAATCGGAGTGCCAGGTGCTTGGGATTGTGCTCGTGTGAGGTCGTTTTGCAGGGCCGAGCGTTCTGCCGTTAGCGTCGCAATTTCCTCGGCGCTCTCGCGGATTTGTCGCAGCAGATCGTTCAAATGCTCTTGCGTGAGAGTCGTGACGTCGATATGTTCAGCCATTTCGAAGGGCGTCGGCTCGTCTTAGTCTAGGCGTAGTCGTGGCTGCACGCGTTTACGAGAGAACGCGAGGACAGCGGCTCCTATGTGCTAAGGTGCGTGAGTCCCTTCGAGTGAGAAATCAAAATTTGATTTTCTGAGGTGTGGAGATGCGCGGTCAGAATGAAAGGGGCTCTGAATACCAAGTGTTACGGGTGCAATGAATCGAAGTAGCGAGAATTGCACTAAGGTGTCAAAACGAGTACAAAATGTGAGGGAAGGCATGAGCGAACATTTATACGCGAAACATGCAAACGGTAACGCGGTGCGTGCGAGCTAGCTAGTGCTACGCTGGAGCGAGGCTCGGGCTAGTCCCGAAGCATAGGCCGACACGGCCATGCCAGCAGTGCGAGGTTTGGTGAAAACATTGTGCGCGAAGTCGGCGAAGCCCCGTTAGCAGTAACGGGCGAACAACGGCTGCTGCTGTACGCGATGTAGTCGGGCTCCGTAAGGAATGTCGAGAAAAATCCTTTCAGTACCCTCATTGGAAATTCCGATTAGTTCTAATACAATAAGAAGTCAGTGTTCTGGTGTACCCGTAAATTTGAGCCTTCAGCATATGCATTGAATATAGAACTGCCTCGTTTAGTGTGAGTATATATGTAGCTAGTTCCCCCCAAATTATTAGTGAACCTGCGCTTATAATAACAAAGAGAGTATTTGTGAGCGCATGTACTGTGACGAATTAAGAAAAACGAAGCTTTGACAATATGGACGGAATAAACAATCAATGATAAGAGATACCGTAATAGAGCGGACGACACTGCCATTTGATCTGGTTTGGAGAGCTTGTGACGGTGTCCATTTTTGTCTCTTGCCACGATGACCTACTGAGTCAAGCACTCAGTTTCCCAAGTATCCTTTGTGAACAGTCGGAATCTTTGTGCACCATACGTCGGAAATCAGTCGGAACTTGCGTATGCACACCACCAAAGCACAACCAAGCCAACGTATCTGACCGAGCCTGCCACCCAGACGCAATGCCATGATGGCATGTACGGTATGCAGGTTTGGATGGCATCCAGCCCAGAGTTAGTCGGGAATGCAGCTCAGCTTGGGAATGCAGCTCAGCTTGGGAATGCGTCTCAGCTTGGGAATGCAGGCCAGCGTTGCAGCGTTGAAAGCGATATTTTTGTTTTTTTTACTACTCTCGATTTCATTGCTGGAATCCAGCTTGCAAGCTTTCGTGCGCAGGACACCACTAACTGGTGTTTATCTGTTCAGATAAACACACACCTCAATCCCACCAATTCCCGCTCGTTTTCTCTGCAATGCTGGAGCTGAGTCAGATTCGTAGAGTAATTTACGTCAGGTCTGGGATGGTCACTAGCGAGTTGTCGTTTTTTCGAGTTCTAGTCCAAGGCAGCATAGGCGCGCCACGATGTGATGACAGAAAGTCAAATATAGGCACCCGGCGGATGGCGGGCGGAAGGGCGGAGTTTTCAATCGGCAGGAGGCGGGACTGGGCAGGAAGTATTTTAGCGATGTACTGTTCATATAACACCCACCACGCCCCAATTCCAACTCGTCTGCTTAGCAATGCTGGATCTGAGTCAGATAGTGGATTAATCCACGTCAGATCTGCCACGTCACAAGCGAGTTGTCGTTTTTGCGTTTTTCTAGTCCAAGGCGGCAAAGGCGCAAGTCAACTGTTTGGCACCCGCTGATGGCGGGCGACGGAAGAGGGCGAGTTTCAACCGCATCATCTGGGCAGGAAGTATTTCAGCAGGTGGGCCATCCAGTTAGCACTCATTCCATCATTCCTGCTTTACCAGACACTTCTCTTGGCTGCGTTCGCGAGATTGCTCACCTTGAAGCTCAGCATCGTCATTGTCATCGTTACTACTTTCACTTCGGGATCGGCTATGGCTGCAAACGAACTGCGACTCTCTGGCCTTGTACTTGCTGCCGCACTGGCTGCTCTTATGCTCTCAGGTACTCATCATTCTCTCACCTTTGGGAACACTTATTCGTCTGTGCAATTTTTTACGTTTTAGGGTTTGTGCTCATGATGTTGTTTGCAGATTTATTGCTCATTAGGAACGAGTCCTGACCACCTCCTTCATCCCCCGCACTGTTTTTCCCAGCCTGTGCGCCCAGGGTTGCTGTTGCCATTCGCCTGCCATCTGCTACCAGCAGCCAGTGCCCAGTGGGTTATGTGAAGGACGCAGAAGGCAACTGCATTGGTGAGTGCTGTGAATGCATCGATATTGGTTCATTCGGCCTCATTTGGTGTGCAACTTCACAGCTTCAACATGTAATCCGGCATTCACAGCCTCAGTTTGTGCTCCAGAAGACATTAACCATGCCACGTGACATTCTGCACGGACTTTTCAGCTCACCATGTGCTTACCATCCCACGTGTCTTTGTGTCCCCCACGTGCCTGCGTGCAGACTCGTGCACAGTACGCAACTGCGGCACCAACGCGAGGTGCCTCAAGAGCCAGGCGGGCTGGGCGGACTGCGTGTGCGACAGGGGCTTCAAGCTGCTGCCCGATGCGTCCTGCGCCCGTGAGTTGACTCCACCCAACCTTTTTGCTTCCCATATCCGCTGCTGCTTCACATGACATGGTATCATCGCTGCTGCTTCACATGACATGGTATCATCGCTGCTGCTTCACATGACATGGTATCATCGCTGCTGCTTCACATGACATGGTATCATCGCTGCTGCTTCACATGACATGGTATCATCGCTGCTGCTTCACATGACATGGTATCATCGCTGCTGCTTCTGCCTCTCATTCAAGCTGTCTCGGTCGCATCCAGGCCTGTCAGCATCGTGGGCATTCCACTGGAATAAAGTTGGCAGCTTTCACCTCTTTTCACTATCCCTCTGCGTACTCTACTGTACACCCTCTCATGCTGTGAACCTGGTAGAGCTGTGTACGGCCGAGGACTGTGGGGAGAACGGGTACTGTGAGGAGGACCAAGGAATCTCCTCCTGTCATTGCAACCCTGGCTTTGAAAAGACTGCGGACGGCTGTGTTGGTGAGTGCTGCTTATCCGTACTGATTTGTCTAATGTCTGATTTGATCCTTATGGCGCTGCTGTATTCTAATGCTTGCTGTCCCCTTTGAGTCTTCCCTTTCCAGATACGTGTGTGCTCCAGGCGTGTGGTGAAAACGGCCAGTGCGTGAAGGACGCGGAGGGGGCGGCATCCTGTGTTTGTGACCCGTTCTTTGGGCTGGCGCCGGATGGCAAGACATGCACAGGTAGCCATTTGCGTGTGCTGCTGCTGATGTGCTGTGGTGCTGCTGCTGAGGTGCTTTTCTTTGTGCCGCCGCTTCTGTTCTGACGCCATCTGCTGCTAAAATTGTTCTGCTGCAGTTAATGGATGATTTGCTTCGCATTCACTGCGGTTACTGCTGCTTGTTTTGTTCCCGTTGCTCTCCTCCTGCCAGACACATGTGTGCTCCAGGAGTGTGGCGAGAACGGCCAGTGCGTGCAGGACGAGAATGGGGCGGCGTCCTGTGTTTGTGACCCTGGATTCACGCTGCGGGATGATGGCAAGTCTTGCCATGGTAAGGCTGCAGTTTGCTGCTATGCTTCTCACCTTTGCCCTGACAGTGCCTTTCAACACCGTCTAACTTTCTGTCATCTTTTTACCTGCAGCTCATCGTTTCAACACTCCCAATGATTCCCCGCCACCCATTGTTTCTCGCAGACAACTCACCCAACGGGCCACCTGATTTTGTTGACCTGCCACCTGCTGCTGTCAACCGCCCCTGCCCTGCGGGCGAAGAGAGGGATGCAGACGGCAACTGCGTTGGTGGGTGCTGTTGGATAGAATGAATGCAACGTTCTGTGTTACATTTTCCAGAATTCATCCACTGTAGTCTTGTGCCGTCTGCATTCTGTGTTACATCTTCTGGATTTGGTGTACCAGTTGTGATGGCGAATGATGACGTGCCTTGTTCTGCCCCTTCGTGCTTGTCTGCCCCCACGTGTCTGAGTGCAGACGTGTGCGTGGTACGCAACTGCGGCCCCAACGCCAACTGCCTCAAGAGCGAGGGAGGCTGGGCGAACTGCGTGTGCGAAAGGGGCCTCAAACTCCTGCCCAACGCGTCCTGCTCTCGTGAGTGTCTCTGCCCAATTCTCGCATCCTCGCTGCTTCCGTTCCTCGAGTTCACACCCGTGTTGCAAGTGCCCAATCGCTGCCTCTTGTTCGACCTTCCTAGTTGCAACCAAGTCCTCTTGCGCATGCATGCAGGCAGGGCACTCTGATTTTTTTCCACTTTCCTGTCCTTGCTCCCGTGTCCATCTATTGACAGACTCGTGCTCGATAATGGACTGCGGGGAGAACGCCTACTGTGAGAAGGAGGAGTCTCTCGCCGTCTGTCACTGCAACTGGGGCTACGCCATGACCGAGGACGGCTGTGTTGGTCAGTGCTGTGCTGTGTTGGTCAGTGCTGTGCTGTGTTGGTCAGTGCTGTGCTGTGTTGGTCAGTGCTGTGCTGTGTTGGTCAGTGCTGTGCTGTGTTGGTCAGTGCTGTGCTGTGTTGGTCAATGCTCTGTTGCAATGCGTGGAGAATCAGTCTGTGGTTTTCTGCGGATGATTCAATGCTATACAAGCTGAGAGGATGCGTTGTGCTGCAGAAGGATGGCATGACGTGGGCAGAAGGTTACCATGACTGCGCTTCCAATCGCTGTTCCATTTGCTTCTCCGTTCTTCTTTTTATTGTCTTAACACTTTGGGTTTATTTTTCCCGTTGCGTCTTCCCCCAATGGCAGACACATGTATACTGAAAGCGTGTAGCGCGCACGGTCACTGTGTCAAGGACGCGTTGGGGTGGGCCTCTTGTGTTTGTGACGTTGGCTTCACGCTGCAGAAAGATGGCAGGACATGCAAAGGTGTGTGTTGCTGTGTGTCGTGTTTATGTGTGCTTTCATGTCCTTGTATATTTTGCTGCTCTACGTTTCCTTCTGAGTGCCCCTCCCTCTCCTCCCTCTCCCTCTCCCTCCTCCTCTCCCTCTCCCTCCTCCTCTTCCTCTCCCTCTCCCTCTCCCTCTCTCTCTACCACACAAGCTCTTTCCCTCCACCTATAGCTTTCTCTCTCTCTCTCCCTCTAATTGTCCCCTACCTCTCCCTTTATCTCCCCCTCTTGTTTACGCTCTCTCTTTCTCCTTCTGCCATATCCACCTATGGCAAGCGTGCATTGCATCTGTACGTCCTCCTCTTTCCCCTCTGTTCTCGTTCTCTTACTCCACAATGCCCCACACTCATTGGCACCCCCTCTTCCCCCCCTCCCCTTCCCTCCAGATAACTGCATTATTAAGAACTGTGACATACTCACGTCGTATTATTGTATGAAATATCCAAACGGTAATGCAGACTGTGTCTGCAGGTCAGGCTACACAAAGCTCTATGGCGAATGTGTTGGTACGTCACAATCTCTTTTAATACATCCTCACCTCCCTCCCTTCCCCCACCTCTCCTCCCCCGTCCCTCCCTTCCCCCCCAACTCTCCTCCCCCGTCCCTCCCTTCCCCCCCACTCCCCCTCTCTCTTCATCCTCTGTCCTTGTCGCACATTGGATTGTCCTGCTTTGTGCTGTCCTATGCGCATGCCTGTCGTCACCTGCTTAAGCTGTAGCACGGTTGCACTAACCTTCTCCCCTTTTACTCTACCTGCTGTCCTGCACTAACATACCCCCACTATTCTCTATCCTGTGCTCACCAGGGCCTGCAACCTGCGGGAACTGTCCAGCTGGGGCCACATGCACTCTTGTCTCATCTACTCTCAAGGCTCCTTACTGCTACTGCCCTGGTGGCTATGGCATGACCAGCACTGGTTGCGTCCGTGGTAAGACCATTATCTTGCAATCAAGGGCACCAATGTTACTGCATTTGAGGGTAACCAATGTGCAAGGGTCTAGGTCTAGACACTTGTGCTCGCATCACGAGCTCCATACCCCATTTCAAACTCCATACCCCATTTCAAACTCCCCCAATTTTCTGTTCTCCCGCTTTGTCATCCTTCCAGGATATGCCCCAACCGTCTCCTCGGCGAGTTTCACCTTCTACAACCTGCCCAAGTATGACTTAACACCCAACACCTACACTCTGCGCGTGATCTACAACGGCTGCACCAACCTGCCTACGTCTATTGGTTACTACGTCCAGTCATACTGGCGAGTGGACCGTGCACCGGGAGGAATTGGAAACTGCAAGACTATCTACGTGTATCGCTATCCTAACTGCGCTGGATCGCCCATTGCTCAGCTCCCGTACCTGTCACTGGGCAGCATCACTGCACAGGGTGTTCCGTAAGTCATACACCCAATCTTTTTTTCCCATACATTTGTCTCATTCCTGCTTCGCTATAAACTCCTCGTTGGTTCTGGAAGCCACTCAGTCCCATGCACACCCACTTCTCTTGTGCATTCACGTTTTCCTCCACCTATCCGTTTGTTTTTGACCCGCTAACAGATACACTTCAGCTGACATGCTGTCTTTCAAGTGTATCCGCTAAGTCACTAGCTTGTGGAGATGCTTCTATGAAGACCAAGAAGTCAAGACTCCAAATGAAATAATGCTCCTTCTCAAGGCAAGAAGGCAGCAGGGAATGAGTCTGAAGACAGGCCTTCGAAGTGGTGCCGTTAATCCGGCTTGATTTAACCAGGGAAATGAAGTTCTTGCTGTCTAGTCTGCTCTACCTCTCTTCCCCACCCACTTACGGTGCCACTTTTGTTCTCCCTTCTTCCTCCCCTTCCTCTCTTCCCAATCCAATAGCAGTTAACTACATACCGGTACATGTGTGTGTGGGTGTGTAGGTGTGGATGGGTAGGTGTGTGAGTGTGAGTGTGTGTGGAGCATGCATATGAATACTAATGTAAAAGTGCATGCAGTAATACCGCTAGTGTTTTTTTTTTTTTTTAAGAGCTCCATATTGACCTCCATTCTCACCTTGAATGTTGGTACAAAGCTCTACATGTGCGTTTGGGCAGGCTAAAGCGAACTCCTTTTTTATTTCACTTGGACGAAACATCGGTATGGTATGTGGAAAGCTCAGCAATCTGCTATGTGCCTCTGATAGAGAATGATTACAAGGGCCACCCAAGCAAATGTCAAGTACCCAGCTCATGACACATCGAAGTTGACGATGCAATTGGCTCAATTTGCTTGTGCAAACCCGCGCAGCACGGATCCAACATGCTGACTGGGTTGATTTGAAGAATGAAATGGCTCAGGGCCGATATGGCCCTTTCGTAGGCGGTAGTGGCTCATCATATCGTTCTGCCTGGTTACAATCACATGTTACCACTCCATGGCAGCCCCATAGCAGCCCCATAGCAATAATACATAATAGTATTGAATATTTGTGGAGTCCGATGTGACGCAATCGGGAATGGAAAACAAATGAAGGAAAACGCAATAGTATAGCTTGAGAAGGAAAACAAATGAAGCCTAAGGGAATTGAGGGCCACAAAACAAGCAGCACTGTTTGTTATCAGTGTAATAATAATACACGGTACGGTACAAGAGAGAAGGAAAAGGAAGAGAAACAATAATATCGTAGAGCAGAAAGTGGTACTATGGTATAACGCAGAGTGTGGACAACAAAGGGAGTGACAATAACAAGAGGGTAGAAGAAACCCCCCCACAGCCCCCCCAAGGCCCCCCTAAGGCCCCCCTAAGGCCCCCCTAAGGCCCCCCTAAGGCCCCCCTAAGGCCCTGTTAAAATGAGGAATGATGATGCCATTGATGTTGGTTGGGGTACATATAACAAACCCTAACTTCTGTACCCCCTAAGACAAACCTCACTACAGGCTACAACATTTGACACACCCCCATAGCCTAAGTGAGGGGTGTCTAGCAAAATAAAAAAGAGTACGGTCACAAGACCAGTCCAAAAGAAAACAAAGCTCAGGGTGGATCACAACGTCACCACACTCTCTGAGCACAAGCAACAGTGGCCACAAGGTCAGTCCAAGAGATCACAAGTATATATAGCAAGAGTACAGACAAAGCAGGCAATAAACTCAAGCCTACACATGACTAGAACCTGTGTCAACAAGGCCTAACTGCACACAACACCTCTGGTGGTCACGAGGCGGAAGCGCCTTGGTGAAGATGTCTGCAGTGTTGGCCTCGGACTCCACAAACTCGAAGCGAGCCTGTCCACGTCTCTGCAACTCTCGCAGAAGAAAGTACCTGACGTGAATGTGCTTCACTCTGCTCTCCAGTCGCGGCTCACGACAGAGGAGGATCGACGCCTTGTTGTCAGTGAACAAGGTCGGTGCAGAGCTCGGCCGCTCACCAAGGTCGGCGAGCAAGAAGGTCAACCAACGCAACTCCTGTGCCGCCATGGCACCAGCGTAAATCTCAGCCTCAGCTGTAGAGGTCGAGACAGAAGAGGAGCGCGTGGAACGCCAGGAAACAGCTCCAGAACCCAGACTGAAACAGTACCCCTGAGTATACCTGTGAGTCTCAGCGTCGTCAGCGTAAGAGGAGTCACAGTGACCAGTGAGTACAACAGACTGCTGCCCTCCAAGAACTAGCCCCACGCCTGATGTAGTCGCTAGGTACTTCGCCACCCTCACAGCTGCCGTCCAGTGAACAGGACGGTGTCTCCCTGGCGCAACAAAGCGCGCAAGGATGCTGAGAGGGAAGGCGAGGTCCGGGCGAGTACAAGTCATCAGGTACATGAGGCAACCCACAAGCTCTGCGTAGGGACCACTAGGCTCAAACGGCTCGTCAGGAAAGGGACCAGTGAATCTGTGGTCAACAGCGAGAGGTGTGCGCTGTACGGTGGAGTGCTGAAGCCCGAACCGCTGAAGGACCTGCTGCACCATGTGTGACTGTGAGAGTGTAATGGTGCGAGCGGCTCTGTCCCTGGTGATCTGCAGGCCAAGGTAGTGGCGCAGCTCACCAAGATCAGTGCACGTGTGTCTCTTCTGCAGTTCGGACTTCACGTCTGCCAAAGCAACCCTGTCCGGAGTGGCGAAAACGAGGTCGTCGACGTAAACCAGAACAAAGAACGGTGTGGAGCCACGACGAACGAACAGCGACGGGTCGGCAGAAGACGGCTGGAACCCAAGGTCAGAGAGGGTAGAACGCAGAGTGTCGTGCCACTCACGAGGGGCCTGGCGAAGATCGTAAACAGGTCGCCTCAGCCTCCACTGGGTCCCAGGAGGGAAGGTGCCAGTGAAGGCCGAGGGACGACGCAACCAGACCTCCTCGTGTAGGCTGCCCTGAAGGAAAGCAGTGGAGAAGTCGAGAGAGTGTAACTCGTAGTCTCTCTGTGCTGCTACGTGTAGTAACACCCGAAGAGTGGTCATCTTCGGGGTAGGTGCGAAGGTCTGAAAGAAGTCAACTCCCTCGCGCTGACTGAAACCTCTAGCCACGTAGCGCGCCTTGAAGACCGGGGGAGATCCCGGTGGCCGCTTCACCCTGTAGATCCACATGACGTCGACTACGTTCGCCCCAGGGGGGGGAACCTCATCGACGTAGGTGCCTGTGGATCTGTAGGAGAACATCTCTGCGTCCATGGCAGCTCTCCACTGAGAGGCCCAAGGCCCTGACACTGCCTCAGCGTAAGTGCGAGGAGTCGGAATGTCAAGGGCGTCGGGGTCACCCTCAGGGGCGAGGAGCATGGCACAGAGATGAGGGGAAGCGGCCGCCAGGAACTCTAGCTCAAACTGCCTGTCCTCTAGGGCGTCACAGCCAAGGGCAGACACACCCCCGACGGCCAGAGGACTGGTAGGAGGAGCAGCCACAAGCGTGGTGGCGTAGTCAAGGCGGCGGGTAGAGGCAAAGTCAGTAACTGCGGCAGTAAGAGCGGACACAGAGGACACAGAGGCACGAGGGTGAGTAACAAGAGAGGCGAGAACACGAGAGAGAACAGGACGGTACGTGCGGTAGTAGTGAGTGACAGGAGTAGGGAGCGACACAGTGAGGGCCGACTCAGGAGGAGACGGAAGCACAGACTGAGACGGACGAGGTGGACTAGAAAGAAGGAAGGCAGTACGAAGGTCAGTGAAGGGAACAGGAGACGAGGGACGAGCACGAGGGGAGCGACGAGTAGCCCAAGAACGAGACGGAGGAGGAGAGGACAAAGGCGGAGAACTGGGGAAAACAGCGGGGGAGGAGTCAGGAGGAGGAAACGTGGGACCGTAGACAGGAGGAGAGGCGGAGGAGGGAGGAGAAGGGGAGGGGAGACCAAGGGTCCGAAGACCCGAGACAGGAGGAGGAAGTGGCTGCTGCTGCTGCTGCTGCGACTGCTGCTGCTGCGGAAGCGGCTGCTGCTGGGACTGCTGCTCCTGCGGGTCCAGCTGCTGCTGCTGCTGCTGCTGCTCCTGCGGCTCCAGCTGCTGCTGCTGCTCCTCCAGCCGCTGTAACTCCCTCTCCTCTCTCTCCAACGCCAGCTGCTCGTCACGGGCACGGCGAACACGAGCGTGGTGCCTAGTCGGGTAGGGGTGGGGGGGCGGAGTAGTGTCCGAAGAAGCGGTAGCTCCAGAGTCCACCCCCGAAGAACCAGGCGCACCACCCCCAGAGGCAGCACTAACACCAGCTCCAGACCCAGGCTCACCAGAACCCAAAGGAGGCGCACTCTCACCCCCAGTGTCCGCGCGACCAGCACCAGCTCCCGGACGACAAGAGTCCTCTGCACCCACCGGGTCAGCTCCAACTCCAGAACCAGAAACTCTAGCTCCAACTCCAGCTCCAACCCCAGCACCCCCAGAACCAGAAACTCCAGTGCCAACTCCAGCTCCAACCCCAGCTCCAACTCCAGCTCCAACTCCACCACCCCCAGAACCAGAAACCGGTACAGGAACAGGCGCAGCACCAACCTCTCGAGAGCTAGCACCTGCGGCACGCTGCGAGGAGGACTGTGGGGAGGGAGGCTGTACCGGAGAGGCTACCGAAGGAGGAGGGGTAGCCTGGGACACACCCGACGGGGCTGGACCAGGGGGGGGAGGCTGTACCGGGGGAACAGGAGGGGGAGCGGCAGTCAGGAAGAGGGGGGGAGGAGGAACCTGGAGACCTCGACTGGGGTACCTGACGTAGTACGGAGTGGACTCCTCGAAACGGACGTCACGGGAGTCAAAGAACCGGTGAGAGGGAGGGTGGTAAAAGGTGAAGTCAGAGGAGTCCTCAGGGAAACCAAGGAAGACACAGGGGACGGCACGAGGTGAGAGCTTGTCCGCGGAGGTGTCGCGGACAAGAGCCAAGCACCCCCAGACACGAAACCGCGACGCAACACCAGGGGACCCTGTCCAAAGACTGGTCGGTGAAACCTCTGGTCGAGAGACACGTGGCCAGAGGTT